TCAGCGGGTTTGACTACACTAACTACGGTTGTTGAAGGTGGAGCCCACCCATTTTGAACGATAATTCAAATACGTTCATCCAAAAATTTAAGGAAGGCTCTCATTCGAACTTTACAGTAGGCATAGTTGCTTCCGTCGAAAAACGGAGGCACGAACAATAACTGACTCATCTAGAATATATAAAAATGGTTAGTTTTTGATTTAAAGTTCTAATACCAATTGAAATTTACGAAGTTCGACCCTAACGATACCTAAGGGGGGTGGATATATATATTATGCGGAATTAAAATTATTAATCAATTAGCAATTTGTCACCAATTAATTATCTCTCGATGATTAAATATGCAAGTCAATTTAACCTATATTTAAATATCGTTGTTAATATAATCAATAAAGAAAATAGTAAAAACACACAGTATGATCACAGAGAAACCCTAATTGGGTAAAAACTACAGACACTTTGCCAGTCAGCAATCTACTATGAACGATTTATAACTTACAGTCTATCAGACTAGACAATGACACGTACTATCTGATCCCCTGACTGCAATTCCAACAGCTCTCCTGGATTGTGCTCTCTGCAGCAACTCCTAACTTTGTGAAATCGTTTATCTCTCGTGGATCCACGAAAAACACCGCGTTCTTCAATGATTGGAACTCCAGTCAACTTCCCGGGATCTTCAACTCTAACAGATACGAATGAAAGAACAGTTTGGTATTTGGATTATGAAAGTGATGTTTTTCTCACCAAAACAATCTCACAGGACGAAGGTTGAAAGAAGGAATATACAGAAATTCTCTCTGATGAAGATCTCTCAGTAATCAAATTTATTTTTCACGTTGAGGTGTATTTTGATATTTATAGGTAGGTTAGAAAAGTAATGGGTTGGGGAAAAACTTTTAAATCGCGAAATAAAAATTTTCCGGACAACACCGTCACTCAAGCGACAGGTTGTCACTAATGCTAAGGTAGGGCGACAGTCGAGCAACGAAGGTTCCTTTTTTTACGCTCGAGTCAATCCATGTCGACAATCTAGCGAAAATTCCAGTATTATTTTTCTCCTTTTGCCATACTCGAACCCTAGACCTAAAAAAACCTATTTTCATATAATTACACATTACTTCTTGACTTTTTACAATATTTACAATTAAGTTCCTTTTGTTTACAAAATTGTCAATTACAAACTTAACATAATTGATCAAATACAACCCGGTTGATTATAAATTGCTCCGAACCGACTCCAATTTAAGCTTCAAAATGTTTTTCACTTTAATTGCATCTAAATGCATTTAAATATCCGATTTACATGCAGTTAACATATTTTAACCTGACTTAGATATATATGCACCCAATTAACAATAAATAATCAAGTTTAGAAAATACACTTACCGATAACTATTAGAAATTTGTGACTTGTCAAGATTGCACACATTCTCAAAAAAAAAAGAAAAATGATAATTTTGCTACATTTTCCTTTTTCTGTAAAGAAAAATTTCTGACTCCACAACTACTACCATTACTCGTTAAAAATGAAAATTAATATTTCCATATAACTCTATCTTTAACTATAAAGTTACATTTAACCAATACAAGAGAGGGTTTAATGGTGTAAAGGTAGAAAGCCTAGGCTGCTTGGAGTTAGAGTAGTTTGGACACAAATTTTCAGATTGCACGTTTGGGAAGCAAAACCTAGGTCAAAGAACAGACAAAAAAGGCTCCAAACGAGGGGTTAGGTTTTTGGAGTTCGCTACAAATTTTGAAGTCCCAAAGTTAGGCATTTGACTCAGTGAAAGTCTCTTCATTTAATTCTTCTTGCTATCCACATTGAAGACATGGTGGGCAAATTTTTGTACCATTAACTGAATTTAATATGCTTTCATTAGTTGAAGTTTGAGAGTTTTAATAATTACATGAAAAATTCAAACTTTTTGGTAGGCTATAATTACTTAGTTTGCATAATTGCTTTTCAAGAAGCGAGAAAAGTGGGGAAATCCATGTCCTGGATTTCCAAAAATGGCTCCAATATCCAAGATAATTTTGACTTCTGCTTCCTTCCAAAAATCAACTCATCTTTATGTAGCTTGTTTTACAAATTAAAAGTGTATTTGAGGCAAATAATGTGTAAGCCAGGCATAGAAAAAAGCCCCAAAATATTTATAGTAATTAAAAATGTAGTTAAAATGTGTGTATTGATGTTTAATTAATGGGAACTCAACTCCGGAAGGAAATGTTCATTCTTTTTTTGTGTTTTTTTTTATCACGAACATGACTAGACGTTAATATAAATGTACGATATATCAATTTTTTTTGAATTGTATAATACACCTTGACATACTTATAACCATTTTTAGCATCCAAATTTTTGACTTAATCATATTTTGTATTTACGCTCAATACATTCCTTGATGAGGAAGATAAATCAATAATGGTGCCCCATAGCGTAAGATTTAAGTAATTTACTAGAATCCTAGCTATAGTTCACAATAATTATTTTGTTTGACATTTTAGTGCAAATTACAGTAAATAAAAGTGGTAGTTTTTGGATTAATTAATCTACAACCTAGTTAGCTTGCTTCTTAAGTAAATAAGGCCTAAATATAGCCCATGTTTGGCCGAGATTTTTTAAGAATATATTTTATGAAAAGTGATTATTTCGGAGAACGTTGAGTTAAAAAGTAGGAAAATATTATGCATTCACGTATAAAATTATTTTGTTAGGAGAGTGTATGGTTAAAAATAAATTTAGGAAAAAAATAAATTTTAAAAAAAATGGAGGCAAAGAGGAGCTTAATCTCTTTTCCGACGTCAATAAACACGAGGGAAAGAACAAAAAAGGCATATTAATGTTTTCATTTTCCAAGGTGGGAAAAAAAGCCTGATTTACCATTCACTTCATGGTTTAATTTTTCTGTAGTTTTTCAGCATGAGATGTTAAATATGAATATTATGTTGATATTAAAAGACGAAGAAAAGTAGACAACATCATCAACAACAACAACAACAACAACAACAACAAAAACTAATGCACTCTCTTTTAGTAATTAAAGTTTAAGAATATGGCTACTTTTAAATTTGAAATCACTGCTTTACGTGGCAAAATAAAATTTCAAATTGTTTGACGAAGTATTTAAATGGGACAAAAGATTAGATTTATTATTTTCAGTTAAGTTTAACATTTTTTGTTTCAAATACTCGGGAAATTTATTAAAAAACGAAAACAAAAAAGCAGCAAGTCAAGAAAAATTAATTTTTTGCTTTCCTTTCCTTTTTTTTTTTTTTCTGAAAGTGAGTGTGAAACTGTGCATGAATTTAAAGTTTCTTTAACTAATTTCACTCTTCAACCTTCATCCAAGGGCAAAACCCTAAAGTCAACTTGTTTAAGCAAATTTTGATTTCTTGAATAGAGTTTTTCTACACCCAAAATGGTCAACAGCTGGTAGATTCACCATAATCCTATATTTAGATTTTAATTAGTCAATCAATGCTCTTTAGACCTTATGACTAAACCCTACATAAACAGCTAGGGCATCTTTCATTAATCTGATAGCTTAATTCATAATTAATATATTAAAATCTGACAAGTCAGTGGAATAGAAGCTGTGGGGGAATGGAATAGAAACTATGGCATTTTTGGATCCTGAGATACTGACCCCTCTAAAAATAAACTCTGACCTGAGACTAGTCTCTCTTAGAAATTTAATTTAAATTTAATTAATTCTTTGAATATAAGTTTGAGCTTTTGCATTGGGAGTAGGTTTTGGTCCACTATTTCCAACTAACATTTCAAACACAAGTTAAAATAAAAAAACCATGTTTTTAGAAGTTTGCTTTGTCTTCACATGAAAGACAAATAACTAATATGATACTTATCTTAATTAATGAAAAAATTGCATCGTTGGTCTCCAACCTATTGTTTGAATTGCTAGTTGGTTTCCAAGCTATCATTTTATAAACATATGAGATCTTCCTATATATACATCAAGATTTACATTCTAGATTACATAATAACACATATTACTCCACCATTTGCCAGTTTAAAACAATTAGTTTTTTCATCCAATCTTTTCTCTCCACATCATATTATGTAATCCATTACGTATATTTTTTATTTACAAGTAGCAAAATCCAAACATATATAGTTGTACAGGTAGTCTCCATCAACATAAACCTTCAAAAAACTTTGTTAAAGGTCATAATGCGACCAACCTTATGAAGGCCAAATAAATTAGCACAAAATGACCGAGGCAATATTCTTACGCTTTTCCTATTTATAAAGTTGGTTATGTATCCCATCCCATGACACTTAAATATAGAAATTTGGGCAGTTTTTGTTGTTCGGGACTAATTGTGCACCCTAAGTTGAAAGGTTGAGACCAACTTGCGTCTCATGAAATAAGCTGCGAATCAGTGGTGCAAATTTTCCCTTAAATAATATCAATATTATTATGCATGGAGATGAAAATCATTCACTTAATTACATCCTAATCCCCATGAAGGCTGATTTGGTGCTTCTTGAGATTCATCAATTTGGAATTTAAAAAAACACAATTTGGGTCATGAACCATTAAGTATAAGAAATTAAGAGTCTTTGCTAAGAATTTATAATTTTGACTTGGGGTTTTCTGGGTGGCTATTTTATCAAAAACAAGCTCCTTTAAAGTCACCACAAAAGGCGGCTGATCCTTCGGAGGCAGACCCCTTCTCAGGGTGCATATAATCACTTCAAAATAAGGGATTCTTCACTCACTCTTTTGAGATCATCTGTTTGGACAGCCTTTTAGGTTAAAACTTCATAGTCTGCCTGTTCTCAAACTAGCTAGGTTTAAGGATTTATGTTCAAATTTTCTGTTTCCTTTTCTTGAGACTGGTTTTCATGTTCTAAACCATTTGGTCCAACTACCTATAGCTAGTAAAAGTAAAGCTAACAATTTATTTGTCTAATTTTCTGGAAGAATATTTCAACACAGAAATTTAAGATCTGTTTTAAGAAGAAAAAAGTATGGAGGAGAGAAATGAGAGTGAGAAAATGGATGAAGTTATGCTGCCAGGGTTCAGGTTTCATCCGACTGATGAAGAACTAGTAGGGTTTTATCTAAGAAGAAAGATTCAGCAGAGGCCTCTTTCCATTGAACTCATCAAGCAACTTGACATCTACAAGTATGATCCATGGGATCTTCCAAGTAAGAACAATCTCTTTGTTATAAAGTTTGAAGTGCTTTCGTATTAAACCTAGTTAATTTGCTCTATGATTCAGAATGTTTTATTGTTATTATCTCTCTCCCAGGTTTTCTAACTGAAGTTTTCACTTCCTTTACCTATTGGTTTCCTTTGGTTTTAAGACCCTTAAGTTCTTTTGTTCTTTCTTGGCTTATATCCGTAGCCATTTGACGACACACTGTGTTCATGTGTGTGCAATGGTTTTTCAAGTTCAAATCTTGTTCACAACGAATTTAGGGTCAGCCACAATAATATATTTTTGCCCACATGTTCATTTTATTGCTAGATCTACTGAAATATCTCGAGAGAGCAAAACTAGATCTTATCCAGCTCTTGTTTGAAATTTCTAAAACACACTATTGCTATGTTTTGTCTATATGTTTCTTGATAACATGCAACCTAACTATCTAGTTCTTGGTGTTCATAATTTTCTGCAACCCAGAACTGGCAACAACTGGAGAAAAAGAATGGTACTTTTACTGTCCAAGGGACCGAAAATATAGAAACAGTGCACGTCCTAACCGTGTCACTGGAGCCGGATTCTGGAAAGCCACGGGGACTGATAGGCCTATATACTCCTCAGAGAACTCAAAATGCATTGGCTTGAAGAAGTCCCTGGTTTTCTACAAAGGGAGAGCAGCAAAAGGTATAAAAACTGACTGGATGATGCACGAGTTCCGGCTTCCCTCAGTCCCCGACTCCGTTTCCCCTAAACCATATCTCCACAAAAACATTCCAGCTAATGTATGTATATCAAAAATTCCTATTAACATAAAGTTGATCATTTTTAATCTTTAATGACTTCTCTTTAATATATTCATTTATTTATAGGATTATTTTTTTCTTTTTCTTTTTGGATTTATCAGGAATCATGGGCAATATGTAGGATTTTCAAGAAGGCAAACTCGAGTACAAAAAGAGCTTTCTCTCATTCTTGGGACCAGAAAGACTTCGGTTCAAGTTTTCGCAACTCAATCGTACATGAAGGAATCATTAAAGATTTGACCTTTTCGAACTCATTATGTAACTCACTAGGGGCACGAGAAACAATATACTCGATACCTGAGACTACTACTACATCTGACATGATAAATCCTCATGCTCTTACTCCTGATCAGTTCACTACTGGCTATATGTCATTGGCTAACAAAACGAATTCGGCCTTCCATTTAGGTTTCATAAACAATGATATAGAAAAATCATCAATTGCTAGTTTTTCTCCCCTTGAAGTTCCTGCCTACAAACCAATTAACCAAACTGACAATAGACCCTGTGAAGTTTCCATTTTCAATGGAAACTTAACTCCAAGTTACTCATTCTCATCCTCAGAACCCACCACAAAATGCACCATTGATGCTTCTTCCACGTTCCTGAACTCTATATTTGGAGATTTTGGTAAGAACGTGGACTGCAGTACATTGCAACAGCAATGCGACACCTTTTCCACCACGATATTACAGGACATGCAAGGAAACATGTGCCATGGAGAAGACATGTCCAGCTTAATACAACAACAAATAAAACATCGTTCTCAACAAATTTGGGATCAACAAGACACGGGCTTAATGAAGGACCATAATGCGGCACAATTAGAAGGATTTCCTTTTAGTTTCCCTTTGAGTATGCCTGCCGATGCATGGAAGTCAAATTTGTTGTGGGATTCTTCTCCTTGTCCTACCGAATTTTCATCAAGTTATTCTACTAATTAACAATTGCTATACCTGAGTAGATAGACTAATTATCCCAATTCTAATCTTGGTTTTGACTGCTGAATTTGTTTGTTATATTTCATTATTTTTAATGTTTTATTTAAAATTTTATGGATAGTGTTGTAAAAATTAAATTATGTAGGACTCCAAGTTTATCATTAGTTTGTATGACAATTGTCTCTGTCTTCGTCGGGTCATTTATTCGGTTCATGCCAAGTCAATGCCGAAGAGAAAGTTTATGTTCTTGTTGGACTTGCAGTGTGAAAGACACTTCATACCAAAAATTGTTTTGGTCTTTGATATAAACACAACCTGCACCAAGAACAAAATATAAAACAATAACAATAACGATAACGATAACAATAACAATAATAGTAAAGAATATAAGGATTTTTCAGTGTAAGTCCCGGAGGTTCAATGATTGTTTCTAGTAGACCCTTGTTGAGCATTTGTTAAGGATTCCACTCAAATTCATTTACATAACCTCAATGTTAGATTTAAAACTTTATGAATCTCGATATTGAAGACTCTTTTGTTTATTGCCAAGATCCTCCATGTCAAATCATCAAGAGAATTAAAAGTCCAGAACATACATTTATTCATTGGGAATGAAGAACGAAAATTGATTGCAAGTTCTTGATATTTCTATTCAATATGCTTTCTCTTGTATTCTTGTGTTAATAGAATGTCACATAGAATGAGAATTCAAATATGAATTGGGGACCATAACCATGTAAAGTGTTTCTATATATATTTCGGCCCATCATGAAATACAATTCAAATAAATATGATCTCTACACATATTTAGCCACATCATATTAGATACCAAACGTCTTATAACTTTAATTCTTTATTAGATCACTTTAAATGAGTATAACCTTAAGATAACATTTAATACATAATTAATTACACATGTATGCCCACATGACAAATTAAACCCATCAATATTTCCTACTCGGGACACATATTACCTTATAAATGTGCATAATTTTATGAGCTCAAAACTTTTGCTATTATAACCAAAAGTATCTCAAAATAATCTCATCTGTTAATTATGTCAATATAGAATCAAAACGGTATTTGTTATAATTATCATAACTAAACTCATCAATGGTCACATGTATCAATACAATCAAATGACATATATCAAGTATGAATGTGTAGTACGAAATTTACATGCAATGTGATCCAAATATGTATATTTCCAACTTGTCATACCTTATTCTTTAATGAGATCAAATCAAAAACTTTAATCAGAGTGAAAATGACTAAATACATTATTTTTGAAATAAACTAAATATCCATAAACAACAATGTGTCTAAAATAGATAACATTCAAATACAAAGACTCACTAAACTAGCATATCATCTAAAGGTGCAACACCCATGTGAGTAGTGTGCTCAATAAAACCTTGGGTGGTAGCTCTTTAGTGAACGGATCTGCTAGGTATCACCTAGTTTACAATCCTACATCCAAAATCTTTTAAGAATCTTATTGATATAGGCCATTTTTGATAATCCAAGAATATCCTGAGAACGATCTCAGTGTATCTGTATCCCTAATACAAAAGAAACGTTACTAAGATCTTTTATTTCTATTTTTTCGATAAAAATCTCTTGATTTCATGCAATAAACATATATAATCGCAGGTAAGCAGTATGTCATCGACATACAATACCACGAAAATATATTTACTCCCATTGAACTTGTGATATATACAATCATTAATTGCATCATCTCAAAACCAAACGAGACAATTATTTGATGAAATTTGTGATATCATTGAAGAAAAGCCTATTGAAGCCCATAAATTGATTTCTTTTATTTGCAAACGATTTTCTTCGAACCTCCCGACACAAAGTTTTCCAGTTGTACCATATAAATCATCTTATCAATGTCACCACTAAGAAACGTCGCGTTTACATCCATATGATGTAAATCGAGATCAAAATGTGATACAAATGGCATAATAATCCTAAAAAGAGTCTTTCGTAGAAATTGAAGAGAACATTTTTTTGGAATCAATTTTTTCCTTTTGAATAAAGCCTTTTGCAACAAGACGAATTTTATATCTCTCCACATTACATTTTAAACCCCTCTTGACTTTAAATATCAATTTACAATCAATGAGCTTCGAACGTGAAGGCAATGTGATGAGTTCCCAATGTTATTGTCTTTCATGGATTTTATCTCTTCATTCGTGGCAACAATTCACTTTTGAAAATTATTCATTTGCATGGCTTGATGAAAGTTGATTAGATCTTCTTTTACCAATCTAATGTCATCCCCAAGTTTTTGGAGAAATACTATTATAAAGTCATTCGAAATTGTTTTTCTACTTTATTTAGTAGATCTCGTTCATGGCATTTGTTCTTGAGGTTGTTGAGTTTGTTCTTCTAGAACAATCTCTATATTGTGTATAGGGAGTTATGGAATCCAAAATTGTTTTGTGAACATGATCGGGAACATAAATTTGTTGTTGCTTCTGATCATTGTCAATGGTAATAGAAGGAATATTTATATATTTCTCCTCAAATACAAAATTTCTAACATTATCTCACCCCAAAAACTCTACATCCATAAAGAATCAGGCATTTCCCATTTTGAAAGTTGACCTATTAGTTTGATCATAAAATTTGTAACCCTTTGACCTCTCAGAATATTCAATAATATAACAAGTGAAAGTGATGGAGTCCAATTTCTTTTCATTTGGCGTATAAGGCCTTGCCTCAGTTGGACAATCTCCAATGTGCAAGTGCTTCAAGCCTTCAACTAAGCATCTTGCTTGTTTAGAGCTCATAAGAGGTTTTAACAGTTGTTTTACTTGGAACTCTATTGAGAATGTAAACTGCGGTCTTTAGTGTTTCTCCTCAAAGAGATTCTAGTAAGTAAGAATGACTAGTCATACTCTTTATTATGTCCTTAAGTGTTATGTTTTGTCTCTCAACAACACCATTCATGCTAGGGGATCCGACATAATGTACTATGGGAGATTGTGCATTACTTTAGGAATTTAGCAAAAGGTCATAAACGGTGTTCTATTGATACACCATATTTGTCATAGTATTCACCATTACTGTCAAATTTGATGTGTTTTATTCTTTTGCTGGGTTGATTTTCAATCTCAGCCTTGTAAACCTTGAACATGTACAGTGATTGAGATTTCTAATAAATGAGATATAGGTAAACATAACAAGAAAAATCGTCTATGAACATAATAAAAAGTATTGATCATTCCAAGAAGCCAAGAGAATAGCTCAAAGATATCTGTATGTGTTAGTTCTAAAACGTCTGAAGTCATTTTGACACCTAATCTCCTCATATTTGTCTGTTTCTCCTTCATGCAATTAACACAAATATTGAAGTTTAAAAAATTAAGGGGATCAATAATTCATTCAGAAAAGCTTTTTAATTTTCTTTTGAGAGATGTGACTCAATCGCTTATGCCATAACGAAGTGGAATTCTCATTGATTAATTTACGTTTAATGCCATGTGAATTCACATCAAATTTTTATTATTCGAGGCAACTGAATTATTCTAGCATAGATTATCATACACAAATAAAGAATCGATACATTAGCACATTTAAAGTAAGAAAGAAACTAAACTAATTATTTCCAAATGAACAAGACTAACTGAATTTGTCTAGTACAAAAACAGAAATCAAATTCTATCTAAAAGATGGTACGAAAAATGTCTCTTTCAAATCCAAATAAAAAATCAGTCTTTAATAACAATCTAATAGTCCATATAGCCCCAACTTCAACTAATTTGTTGTCGTCCACATAGATGAATATTTCAACATCATTTAACTTTCAAGTGTTCAAGCAACCCTGCACAGACAAAATTATATGAGTAGTGGCACCAAAATCAATCTACGAAATATGTCTACGTACTGAAACTAAATTAATCTTAGAAAATCAAAGTGAAAAGTGTACATTTCTTTACATGTCAAGCGTGGTATTTGGTACAGTCTATCTTCATATGTCTCGAATTTTCACAAAAGTAACGGCTTTTGCTATTTCTTTTGAGCTGAACCGATGCAACTTTCTTATTATTTATTTTCTTGAACTTGTTCTTAAATGTACTTTCCAAGTGAGTCCTTCAATTCTCTCTTACTTTAATATTTCTTCTTCTTTCACACAATAATAAATGAGCTCATTAATAGTCAAGTTTTCTTTTTAACAGTTGTAACTGACCTTAAATTAACTGAATTGTGCAGAAAAATAAATTAAAACCAAATACACGAACAAATTATCACACAGATCTAGCTTTAGTGTCTTTAGTTTTGAAGCAAGATTAGACATCTCTATGATATACTCACATATGTTTCCTTTATCCTTGTACTTTAGTGAAACTAAGTTCGTCATAAGTTTACTAGTTTTGGCCTTATCGTTTTTTACAAAGTGCTTTCCAATTTTTTAAGAAATTACTTGGCACTAGTTACCTTATCTGGCATAGCGTCCTTAAATGTTTCTGGACTTCCACGCTTGATGATTATAAGATTCATGTGATTTGAACGATCTCACTTATCAAAGTCCCATTTTTCATCGGTTGAACTTTTATCCGTAAGTGCAGCAAATTGTTCAGTTTTCAAAGCAAGATCTAGATCATGTAGCTAAGAAGAATATGAAAGTTCTATTTCTAGTGTTTAAAGTTTGTTCCATTAAGCACAAGAATAGAGTTAGTGTTGGCAGATATTGTAAAAGCATATAAATTAACTGAATAGAGAATAAAAAAATACATGTTCACATGAGAATTCATATTAAGCAATCAGTAAATTCAAAAGTGAGCCCCATCACAAATGACCAAACACAACATTGACATTTAATTTTTGGACAGAAATATCAACTTTTAAGAGGTACTGTTGATATAATAATCAAATAATGACAGTAAACCATATCAAAAATTAAGTATATCTTTAGACCGGCTCAATGTTCACATAAAAAACTTTATAATTGTCACAATTTATTACCAAATGTGTGCATATAATTCAGC